AAAAAAAAAAGTATGTGCGAGAATGATACAGAAATCAATAATAATAATAAAAAAAAGAAAAGAAAACTTGTTATTAATGTTTATACGAAAAGAATATATATATTGCACGAGACAGTAAGAAAAAACAGGAACATTATTTGGTTTTTATTTATGTGCAACGAAGATTTCTATATCATCATTTTGATTTGCTGCATTTGCAGCTGCTTTTCGTCTTTCTTGAATTAATTTTTTCAAATCATCATTTGCTGTTTTTGTAATGGGTATTTTCGATTTATTTTGATGAGGTTGAAGTTGTTTAAGACGATCATCGATTATACGAGGACGATTGTTCACTAGAAGAAAAACCCATTAGTATGCAATAAAAAAAATTTAATTTAATTTACCATCATTAGGATCGTATTCATCTTCCATTGGAACCCATTGTTTCGCTTTACGTGTATCGAGTTTGGAAAATTTCGCCTTAACCTTGTCAATCAATGGATATGTTATATCCCAAAAACCTTCAAGATCACTATCAAGTGGTGTTGGTTCACCAGCAGATGTTGTTGATTTTGACTAAGAAATTAAATATAAAAAGAAAAAAAATATTTTTCTAAATAAATTTTACTTACAACATTTGCTTGACATAAACCACGAAATTGTTTAAGTTTACCTCTTAATAATAAATTAACTTCGCCAATAACAGCATTTATATCACAACGAACTTTAAAGGAAAAATAACAGAATTATTTTTTTGGTTAGAAATTAATTCAACTAACCATCATCTGTTAAACGATTATCATCAGATTGAAGAAGTTTACTGTAGGCGTCTGCTTTTGATTTAATCACCTTTTCTTCATCATCCAATTTGGCCAAAAATGCTCGGCCATTCTAAAGAGAAATTTCTTTTTGATCAAATAAAGAAACATAGAAATAACCCAACCCTTGTTACGACTGATCTCGACATCTTTAAAAACAAACTAAGCTATGTTCTGATCGTTTTATATGTAAACAAAATAAAGCAATCGAAAGACTCTTATTACGGAAAATAATATTAGTGTATACAAAAAAAAAGAAAAACTTAATGCTACTTAATTTAAGAGGAAATTTATTTTTTTCTTGTTTTTTTTACTTACCATTTTAGCAACGAGAATAAATTTGTAATAATAACTGATGAAAAAGAGGACACGACCAACGTGATGATGACGATAGTAGTAATAAAATGAACGAGCAGAGAGGAAGAAAAAGATGACGACGTCTATATGATCGAAACTGTTGTATGAATTTATTCTCTCGGAACTGACTAGTTTTATTCACGAGATGTATGCGCGTGCTTCAAATAATAGAAAAGAAAAATCTAGAGAAATAAGAAAAAACAACGTTGTATGAGTCATCGTCGTCACTCAGCACTTTCTATAAGACTAGCAAAACAAACTTGACATCATCAAACGAAGAAGAAAAAAAAGAACCAATGAATGAAATTTTTGTTTCTTCGTTTCCATCATCATCATCATCAACATCATTTGTCCATCCGAATAATATATGGAGGGCAGTAGCAAACAAAAAAAAACTATATATGAAGAATAATTTATTCATTCTGGAGGGAATCTATATTGAATAAATATATTGGATTCAATTTCCCCCGATGGCACAATATGTCTATCACGCGTGTGAGTCTGCACGTAGAATGAACTAGATTATGGAGATGTATTAAATGATCTCACACTCATGTACAACAAAAAGAAAGAGAGAAAGAAAAGATCAAAAAGTCATGTGTTAAGTTTTTTCTTTCATTTCTAACAATTAAAGTAAATTAAATTTCTTTTTTTTCTCCCTCCTTTCTATTAATAGTTATTACATAGAGCAATGAGTTTTGTTAAAACGTTTAATATGAATCACTTATAATTAGTATTCCGTTCATTTGACAAAGAGTACATGCATCGTTTCTCATCATTTTTATTAGCAAACGGTTATAACTCGAAACACCAGAGCAAGAGAGCAATAAAGAAAAAAGAAAGCATAGCAATAGAGTGATAAGCAAAGTTTTTGTTTTAATGATTATTTGTATGTGATCGATTTTCGTGTTAATTAGTTGAAGAAAAGAAAGAAAGGTGTTCAAAAAAAAACACAAAAACAAGAAACATAGAGAAAGAATACACACACACACACGCCATACACAACAATCTGACAAATGAGAGAAGCAAAAAAAAAAGGGATGAACAAAATACTGACGACAAACACTGAATATAAACATCGATCATCATGCAAAGATTGTAGAAAGTATTAGAAGAAGAGTATAGTCCATCACCATATATGAGTAGTGTGCGTATGATGTTGTTGATTGAGTATATGTATATATATATAATTGCGTTTTAATTATGTTAGTTGTTTATCGAGCTTACCTGTGGCTCGTTTAATAATGATTCTTGAGTTTTTTGTGTTAAATCATCAACAATTAACCATACATTATCATCAATCGAACTATTTTCATCATCATCATCATTATCAACAACATTTGAAGTATCTCGTTCATGATTATTTCCATTCGATGTTTGATGATCATAAACAGCAGATGATTGCCAAGTTATATTTTCACTTTCAAAAAGTTCACCAGTACGATCAAATAATTCAACATTTGGTGATTCAGCACCATCAATTCGATGTTCATCATCCGTTTGTTCTATTGACCAAAAAGAAAAATAAATTCAATAAATTCTTCCTATATATATATCTAATCAATTTTTTTCTAGTTCACTGCTTATTTGTCATGAGAATAACATATGTTCAATTGACACATAGAAAATTAGATAGGACTAATTAGTTATTTCATACTACATTATACAATGAACTTAGTCTTTAATAGTGGATCTATCAATCGTTTATACATATTAAATTTGTCTTACCACTTTTCTGCTCTTCATCCTAGAAAAAAAACAAATTTCATTTGAAATAATTTTCTTATAAATTTATCTTACTGTAAAAATTTTAATATTATTAAATGTTGAAAGTGCTCGTTCAGTTATTTCCATAAGATTCATATCGGATTCATCGGTTTTCTTTGGTATATCATAAATTGGTTGTAATAAATGATTTTGATTTTGATCTTTATCTTTATTAGCAACGCCAAGTGCTCGATCAACTGCACGTAAAAAATTCTTTTCAAATTCTTCATCACGTTCTTCAGATACTTTTCCATTTGATAAATTTGGTATTTCATCACGTACAGGTGATGTCGACGAAACAAATGTTTTCACATGAAGTGATGCAGCAGGTGTAACATGAACTTTTGATGTATATGGAATTTGTTCGGATTCTACAATATCACCGTCTTCACGTATGACAAGTTCATTGTCACTAGATATATTGGATGAAGCAACACCATTCGTTGTAAGTAGATGATTATCGGTTTCAACTAAATAAGCAAATCATAGATATATATTTACAAGATGTCAATGTTTTTTAAATGAATAAAAGCATTAGTATTTGTGTGGGAGAATATTTTCAGATATAATTACAAAACAATACTTTTCCTTATAGCAATTAATACATATTTATAAGAAGAGATGTCGACAAAAATAATTACAAACTCTAGTTTTTCTAAGATAAAATATCTTTGTCAACATTATTTATTAAATCCGACCTTCAACTCTCATTAAATAAATTAGAAGATGGCGCATCTCAACTTAGTATGAGTTCTAATGAATATTATGTATCCAAATCAATATATTCGATTGTTTTGCATACACATTGAAAAAACAATAAACAAACTTAGCAGGGAGGTTGAATAATTTTGATACCCACTGTACACATCTCGTAATAAGATAAATATCTCAATTATTTCTTTTGTCGGATATTGAATTTCCAAGGTAAACTTTCTATCTCATCTCGTAGACATTCCTCGGGACAAAAATATTCAGGATATATTAGATTAGAAGTTTTATGTAATCTATGAATTTTTTTGTTTACCTGATGAATTTGGTGGTAAAACTTCATTATCAACAACTAAATATAATATAAAAATAAATTATTTTGTTTTTCAAAAGAAAAAGAAAAATTCAACATACTAGTTGTTGTAGCACGTCTAAAACTATCAATACTTCTACTCATTGGTCTTGTTCTTAAACTTGAATACATTCTATTATTATTACTAGTAAAATTAAAATCAAATTTTCGTTTTCCAACATCATGATAATGATGAAATTTAAATAAATCATGTTGACCCACGATCTTTTCATGATTACCAAATGGTGTTGTAAAACCATAACCACTTAACATACAATTTAATTTTATATTCGATTGTTTTGTTGCTTGAAGTAATGGATCATCAGCTGTTTTCGGTGGTGATATTTGAACATATGGTTGTGAATTATTTAAAAAATCATGACTAAGTAATGAACCATTCATTGATATTGTACTTAATGAACGATTATGTATATCACCATTTGTTAAATTTGGACGATCATAATAATCAACAGATGATGTTGTTGTTGTTGATAACATTTCTTTTAAACGTTCAGTTGGTAATGGTGCACATGGATGTTGAGATAAAATTCCAATTGTATTTGATTTCGTTGTATTAGCATTATTATTATTATTATCAAAATATTTTGCGCGTATTTCATCATAACATGCATTTATATGATCAACTTGATCTTTATTATGAGTTGTTGGTGGTGAAGGTGAATGTCGTGCTGATTGTTGTTGTTGTTGTTGTTCAGTTTCAATAGATGTATGTGTTGAACTACGTGTTAAGTGTGCAAGACGACTTGTCAAACGTTTCATGGGTGATGGATCACGTTTTCGATTCTTTTTATTGTCATCATCTGTTCGAGATGATATTTTATCTTGATCATTTGTATGATCACCATTGATTTCAGTTATAACTGGTTTTGAATTTTCACGTGATTTTGTACGAAAACGACGAAGAACAGCTGGAGAATTAAGTTTTGAACGTAGAACATTTATTAATGAACGAGATTTTTTTAATGATGGAGTTTCATTATTTAGATCGGAATTATTATTTGTTGTACCATTTGTTCGACTTATTGTTGATGATTTACGAAATAATGATGTTGAATGTCGATGATGATTACCATTACCATTACCATTTACATGATGACCATTAGTTTTTTCTCGAAATTGTGGATCATCAAGATTTATTGGAGGAACTGTTGACGCTGAACCACGTCCACCAAGTGTTGCCCATTTTCTAGGCCAACGTTGACTTGTTGCTCGCGGTGGTAGTTGATTCGTTACCGTTGACGTCACGGCATCTGTGTCCGGCATCTGAAATGAAAGAAAATATTCTATTATAGAATATCTAATTCGATATTCATACAAATTGAAGAAATCACTTGAGACTATTATAAATTTTACAATTGACAAGACGCGTATGAAGAAGAAGAATAATTTTCTTGTATCTATCTAACTATCATCATTTAACAAATCTAATCGATAGAAAAAAAAAAGAATTCTATATATATATATATATATATAATCTAAAAGTAGTAGTAGACAACGATACGATGCTTCTGTTTACATTAGAATAGAGACGAAATGTATGCGTCGTCTCTCACGTTATTACTGCCGATATGATTATGTACAGTAGAGAAGAAAAAAAAGAAGAAAAATAGAAGTGAACGAACGTCCAAATGGGCAATCATGATAAGACAAGACTTATAACGTTCGTCTGTCTATGTTAATACTTTACCTATACTTCTTCCAGATGTAAGCCAAAAAAATATAAAGAAAAAGAATGAATGTTAAAATAAAACGGCAAACTTACATCATCGATATATAAAAAGAGAAAAGTTCACAAAAATTGAATACATGTATAGAACAGAACGATAAGAAATTCATAGATGTAATCGACCTACTGTTGCCAGTCATGTTGATGACATTGACCTCACTTCTTTTACTGAACACAATCAATCTTACTTACGTGTAGCAAGGAAAGAAGAAACACAAAATTGAATTTTATAGCTGTCCGGCTGCCCTCGATCGGTCGGTCACTATGCGTGTGTGTATGTGTGTATATATGTATATGTATATATGTATATAACGACAATGGGCAAATGCATCGATTTTTCTCCTTTTTCCTTTTTCTCTTTTTTCCCTCGTCCTAATCACAAGGGCTACTGCTTCCGTATACTCACACGAAGCAGACGGTGGTACCCTCCATCTCATATTCCATTTCTCGAACGTATATATATATATATATATATATGTGTACGTATCTGTCTGTCTAATGTATAAGAAAAAAATAAATGTTCGAATGGAAAGAAGAAGAAAAAAAAAAAAGAAGAATATTCAATCGAGTTATAACAAGAGGGAAAAAAGAGAGAAAAATGCTCTGTTCTGTTCTGTCTGTATTTCTTATCAACTAATACAAAACAGATTCAATTAGATAGATCGATGACCATCATCATTATATTTACTACCAGGACGACCTTTGGCCGTTACTCTCATGCATTGTATTTATACTGTTGCGTTGTTCAAACAGCAATATCGACAATGATGTAATACAAAAATTGAAGTAGAGAGGAGAAGAAGAAGAAAAAAAGAACAAACATCAATCGTATAGTTACTTTACTGCTGTAGGTTTTTTGTAATACATATACATATACATAAATATATATGCAATTCTCCTTGAAAATAAAAACTTGTTATACTCACTTTTCTTTGTCTATGTTAAAATTTTATATACCAATATTTGTATGTTTTATTGATCGTATAAAAATTTGTTACAAGGACTAATTTTATTGTATATCTATAGAGAAAAGAAATAGTAAAAAACAAAAGATTAAGTTAATGATTTAAAACATATAGTTGTATTAATAAAAGTAAGTGTAATCAGGATTAAATAGATGAAATTTCATCTAAAAGTAATTTTCCACTTGTGAAAACTATTTAATTGTTTCTTCCCGGGAGTGTTTTAATCTCTGAAGTAGAAAATACGTCCGTAAGGTAATCTAGTTGCTTGTTTCCTTGGAAAAATTTTTTTTTGGTAGCATCTGGTTCATTACATCAATAGATGAAAAACGTGTGTAATACATATGTACAAATATAATTTGTAATTTTTGCTATGCTTATCATATTTTCGAATAACTGATTTCTATCTTTTTTTGCTCGAATGATTTACCTGAAATAAAATTTAATAGATATGAAAAAATATTCAATGCACGCAGCATGTGCATATCTATATTCTTCTAGATAAACAAACGAAGTAATTTTTTTTCTTAAGATATGTACACAGCGAACATCATCATTATATCGGTCGTGTACATCAAGTTGAGAGAAGAAGAAAGAATCATCATATAGTAAACCTGAAGATATAAACATTTGTCTTCCTTTTTGCTCGTATCCGGACAATGATCGATCAGTCAAGCCTGATAAACTGTACAGATCAGAAACGGTCACACATGTGCATCACTAAAAACACGTATAGATAGCCTATATATATATACACATTAATGATCATGATAGATGATAGACACATTCAATTTCTTTTAAAAAAAACTCCTATCTTTTTTTGCTTATTCAATATATCAAATTGAATGTAAATGTACTTGAAAAATAAATTCCATTATGTTATTTTAAAAGTACTCTAACAAAAAGAGAATTTCTATTTGTTCACACTTACAGATAAAAAGTAAAGTTATCTTAGATTTGAAATCTATGTCTTTCTTTTTCTTTGCTTTATAAGACTTATGTTGAAAATAATTATAAAAATCTGTTTCTTTTATCAAATTTGTACATAAACCTTCACCTTTATGCTGTACTAAAGCGACAAGAAGAGAGAGAGAGAGAGAGAGAGAGAGAGAGAGAAAAAATATTTGATTCATTGAAAATTATTTACAGTCATTATGACTAATTATTGTCATTGGAAAACTAACATGACAAGTAATACAAATAGACGTCTGTTATTTTCGTTTAATGATGAGGTCAAATTCCCGAAGGCGAAAAGAAACACGGTACATTTATCAGATAAAACAAAAATTTAACAATACTAAAAGTGTCATATCGTATATTATTTCTTTTTAAACTTTTTCCTGTATTGAAAAGTAGTACAAGCATAGACATTATTTCCGATTATGTAAGTAAGAAAAACGCCGTAGGAATGATAAGCGAGGTTAATGGAAATATAATGTATCATTATAAACAATCGCATTTAGTTAATGTTGACATACAAAATGGCTCATTAGTTTAGTAGCAACTGTAATATGTACTACAAATTTAGTATTTTTTCTTTCTCCATAAGAATCATTTATTTAAATATGTGGAAGTCAAATTTGTCAATAAAATAAATTAGGAATTTATATATAGATTTCCTTGGCTGATTAATTGAAGAAACAAGTAGATAAAGCTGAACCATATTATTATTATTATTAACCGAGAAATAATGAAAGACAAGCAAGAAGTCCTTGACATATCAGTTGTTCAACACGAAGTAATTTTTTCTTATTACATTATCATCACTTACTTTCTGTCATCGAAGACATATTTATTCAACATTTCAGCTTATTTATGTGTGTATGTGGGTGTAGTCAAAAGTAGAATTATCTATTTCACTGATAGTATTGTTATTCATGACAATTATTTCTTTTATTCAATATCTGGTTAATTATTCTGTTGCACATGTACGGAGTCATAGTTTTCATACTTTGTTCGAGTATTATTCTTGAAGTTCAAAGTCAAGATATCACTTGATAAAATATATGTTCTTTCGAAACAATATCATTGAACAAACAATCATTTCTGAATAGAAATTTTTTTTTAAATACTCGATTTACTCTATCATAGGATAAAGTAACAACTTCTCTTTTTTTCTAATATTGAATCAAACTCAAATTATTTACTATTTTGAACAGTTAATTTGTAATTAAATCTTCGATATATAGTATTCCTGTCTCAATGGATCATTCATAATATGTCAGTTGTTAGTTTAACAAGACAGGATATAATTAGTTGATATCTGTACATGACCTTTGATCGAGAAACAGGATTTGTTTTATCGTTATTAATTAATCACATAAGTATTCCTGTAATGTTAATAGAAAAAAAATTTATCTACATACTTTTATATATTCAATTTTATTATAATGAATTGAATTGTATATATATAAATAGTTAAAACCTAACGTTAACAAATGATCTTTTTCTTTTCTGTATACATATGTTAGATGTTTATATATTTTCTTTTTTTATCTCGTCGAATAGTCTTTTCTCTCTTCTTTGATCTACTATAATGACGTGTTTACCTAACAATAATCGATGTAAATTATTAGTCCTGGATATTGATATCAATCAATTAAATTCTGATGATTTACGAAGATTTTTTATTCCATATGGCCCAATTGAATCCGTTGAAATCTTTCCAAGATGTTCGGCAGCTATTATTTATTTTGTTAGTTATCTTAGTGTTGATCGTCTTGTTAGTTATCGTACATATTTAATTCATCAAAATTATGTTCGACTTCGTCGTTTTCGATTGGATCAAACCAATTGGAATATTGATTGTCGAACTTTACGTGTTAAATTTAATACTACAACTAATAATAAATTAACTGAATTATCATTAGCTCATTGCTTTAAAGAATATCAATCTTATATCGAAAAAATAACTGTATATCCTAATAATCATGGTTTGATATTATTTTCGGATTATAATTATGTAGATCAACTTCTTCTTTTACCTGTAAATGTATATCAAATTAATAATAAAACACTTACACTTGAACGAATGATACAAAAAAAACGAGATCCAATTGTAGGTCGATTATTAAATCAAAACGAATATTTATTAAAACAATTACGAGGTATTGAAAAATAAATTTTCAATAAAAAATTATTTGTAGAAATTTAGATAAACAAAATAATTCACGAGATGATATTGAACAACTCGAAGCTGAAATATTTATATTAAAAAATGAAAATGCACAATTAAATCAAAATATTAAAACACGTCGTCGAGTACTTGTCGATATATCAAATAGATGTTCAAATGACCAATATCATCGTAAACGATCACGTAGTAATAGTAGTGAAAAACCAATAAAACGCCGTTAATAAATCTTATCTGTTACATGTATTAAAGAATATTTTAAATAAAATCCGTACTCAATAATCACCCTATTTTGAATAATCGTTGACTTCATTCTTCGTTGATTCATATGACGTACTTTGGCTATGCATCATTGCATTATACTGAATCGTATATATTCTTAAAATAACTCTAACGATTAAAAACATGACAAAAGATACTTTTTGTGTTCGTAATTATGAATTTGATGTTACTCATACAGCTTCTAGAAGGTTTTAAACAATGAAGCTCGTTGGAGTATTTAAGAGACTAGGTTTTGTTAGTTAGATATAACACAATACAAACTTTATTCAAAAGTAAGTAAGAGTAACAATATTTGATATAAAATAATATTTATTCTTATATTTACTATAGATAACAATAAAATAAACAATGGGTTGGAGTAGTGACGATCTTTTTCGCGGATATGGTGGATATGGAGGATATGGTGGTTTTCCATATGGTGGAGGTTATGGATTTCCGTATGGAGGATATGGTGGCGGATATGGAGGATATGGTGGCGGATATGGAGCTCCATATGGGGGCTTCGGGGGTGGATATGGATATCCATACGGCGGATTTGGCTATGGATGGTAAATCAAAATACTGATGTTCACTATTTTGTAATATATTATTTTAATAAATATAAAATCGATTGATATCTTTTACATTGTTTAATATTAATTTAGTGATCTAGAATGACTAGTTTGATAATTGACTATGTTCAGTCGAGTAAAAATTAATTCATAATCATTTAAATCGTTTCATATTCAATAGGGAAACAAAAAGAATTAGATTTGTTTTACATCATAAAATTTGAGTACGCATCTCTGCGTCTTTCTCATTATCGATTGTTTAATGTGTGCAAAATAAGATATTTATTGGTTATGTCTTAAAACGATCCCTTTTATCTCTTATACGTTCTTAGTTAATCCAATTTTGTTTATTCGGCAGTATTGTGATCGATGGTACTACTGTTTCTATTCTTTGTTTTATGAAATTCATGCAACATGATTATTGCATTAGTGCACACACACACACAGAAAACTTATATCTCATGAGAATTTTGCGTCTTTGTCTTCCCCTTCCTCTTTTTCTTCTTAACTATATGCACACAATCATAGTATTATTTCTTATCTACAAACTACAAGTATATATATACGTGTTCTATTTTTACTATTGTGGAATAACTATGAATTGATATGGCAGTAGACACTTATCTGACTAGTAAGTATAACGAACGGAAATTAAATTCAGTCAATGTTCGGTATAACTTCAAACGATCGATCACATACATTTATTGTAGAACAAATATTGATCTTTTGCTTCTAGGCTACAAGACTAACTAGTTATTATTTCTTTGTCCAGTCAGCCTAGAGGAAAAATAATATGATGTGTACTGTCTTGTATATGCAAATCGAATTAAACAAGAAAAGATGAAGAGAAAAAAAAAGAAGTTATTTTGACTTTCACTGGTTGGGTGGTAGTCTATTGTCATGTCCGGTAGTTCAATGGGTGGGAAGAATAGTTCAACGGAAATTATGAGTTGTAGTGATTACGCCATAACAACTAGAATCGTTGAGTGTTTCAAGACACGAGCATAATAATTTCTTCTTATCTTCCACTTGGATGACAAGTAAAAGTTTGGTATTACGACGGGAAAAAGAAAATTTTTTATTCAGATTTTGTTAATTGAGTAAGACTGGTTGTCCATCATTGCAACTTGAATTGCTTGATTATAGTAATAATTATCCCTGTTGCTTCTATCTCATTTTTATCAATCATCCGTTTGGGGGGCAGAAGAGAAAAATGACAGAGGCGGAGCGCACACTTATTAAATTAGAAAAGACATTTTCTATTGTCTATGTATATAATGCTCATCATCGTTAGTTGATTTCTATGCAAATTTATCATTATTCAAATTATTCTGTCAGTAGGAAAGAAGTGTGAAAGTGAAAGGATCTTTTTATTCCGATTGATTGTCCAGATCACTACTTAACATAGTAGACATTCAAAGCTCTAGATCGTATCACAATTCGAATGAGAAAAAAATATAAGCATGAGACAGCTGCAGATGGACATTCACACATAATCATATATCGCCTCAAGGTTAGTTAACGACACTGAGTACAGGAAATGATAGTGTTTCAATCAATATCTTTCGCATTGTTGATTAACTTGATCTCTTTCCTCCTTTTTCTCTCGTTCTCTCTCTCTCTGTTCTTCGTTGACATAGAAATTGTGAAGCATTCAAGCAAAGAATGACAAGATGACGTCAGTTGTTGGTCATGTAACGTGTTAAAATAGATTAAGATCAGACAATATAAGTAGTATTATAAAAGACATTATAACTAGTTACTATCTACTCGCAATAGTAATCGCTCTTTATAGGGAAAAAAAAGATGACCGTTTATTCTCATTCATGGATGCCACTGTTCAGCATCACCTTTATGTATGCATAAAGATAAACGCTTAAACCATAAAGAGATATATATATATGTATGTATGTATGTTTGAATATTGATCATATATCGCGCGAGACGACATCGTCTGTTCAAATAAACTATCTATCAATACATGCAAAGCGAAAGTTTCACATCGCACACGCTCTTTGTCTGATTGGCATTCTTTACATTCATTCGGTCATTCTCTCCTTTTCTCTGTCCCGCTCTCTCTCTCTCTCTCTCTCTCTCTCTATCTCTCTCTCTCTTCTTCTCTTCCTTTTCTCGATGGTCAGTTTTGAGAAGTGTAATGAAATGAAAATAGTAGAGAGAAAAAAAGAAGAATGTGTTAGAGTCGCCATCATCACAGCAGTATATTTGAACAAGTCAAACGATATGAACGACGACGACATGTTGTGAAGGTAAGAAGGCGAATCATGATTATCATCTCGTTGACAAGAAGTCACAGCTGGAATATGAAAAGACCTTAGGGTAAAAAGAGAAGAAAAAAAAAAGATTGCCGCTCATTTAAAAAGTCATTTTTGGAAAGATTTTGTTCTATATCTAATCAAAGCTGTTTCTCATTCATCGTCTTTGATATACAATTTTTCTTTGTAGAATATAAACTGTTGGTGCCACTATCATCGTATCTCTCATTATAATAAGTGATTATTTCTTGTTTAGTCATTCTTTTATATTATTGTTCATAAATACTAAACGTTGACTGAAGTAGTTATGTTCACGTGTTCATACCTTGAATAAAAGTTATTGTTTTCATTTTGATTATCTTGCTTTCATTGATTTGCCTTGGGAATGCGGCACATAATGTCTTTCATTCTCTTTTTTTTCCCCTTCCTCTATTCTCAGTAGAACAATGGACATTTGCTACTAGATACTCATTCATAAGGTACCGCCTAGAAGAATAACATTATGAATAGAAACATGAAAAAATGATTGACCGCACAGCTGTAGCTTCAGGGTCAACTGGAAAATCGTCATGAGTCAATCAGTAGTTTGTTTTATCTCTTTTTTTTCTTCGTCTTCTTTACGAGAACTATAGTTAAAATAGTAAATGGGTAATGATGATAATATTATTCGAACGGAAGAAAGACAGACAAGGATAAAAGAATATAATTCTCTATACATACAAATTATAGACTCCTGCCGTACGGATGTAGATAGTAGTAGAGATATACAATTATCTATTGCTAGGCAACACTCATATACACATAAGATAAATGAGTCTAAAGAGTTCAAACCAATTTTCTTCCATATCATTTCAAACAAAAGTAAGTGAATATGAACATATCACAATTGCTCAATATGACCTTTTTTTCTCTCTGATCTTGTGAATATACAAGTGTAAAGTAATAGGCGGAGTTCACTTCTATTACTATGCATTGAACATCTCATCTTTCAAATACACAGCAGGACACGTACGTGAGAAAACACTCTTTTTCTGATAAGAATCATCATATTACATTAAATTACTTTTGACATGCATATTATACCGCCATATGAAACACATAGTTTGAATTTTAAAATAGTCATTTTTGTTTATATATTCTATTTTAGATGATTGTAAGATTATTTTTCTTTTACATTTTTTTCATTCAATATCAAATCGAACAAATTCATTGTGAAACTGTCAATGGTTGTACGATAAATAATAATAATCGAAGATCAATATCATCAAATAAAACATCTGTCACACTTTCATGTGAAAATAATGGATATATCCTTGTACGAAATTTAACATTCGGTGTACATAAAACATTATCATCAACCTGTTCATATCAATCAGGAGATTGTACTACACATACAACATATATAGGAATGGAATGTAATGGACTTACAAAATGTAATCTTGATTTAAATCCACAATATTTACATATATGTAAGTAAAAATAAAAAAAAATCTAATCAATCATTAATGTATGCTATAGTACTTCCGTTATTCATTACTTTTTTTTTTTAAAACGAAGAGGACGTGGTTAAGTGCATAGAACAATATTGATTTTTTGTTTGCTAAGCTGTACAAATGCTCAATTTTCCATTGATATATACTAAGTGTTGTTATTAAAGGAGACCTTAGAAAATAAGACTTGAATTTAGAATAATATCATATATCAATTCGACATAAATAGGAAAATAAAAATTTCTTTAATTATATTTATGTCTACTAGACTTTAAAAAAATACATATTCTCTTTCTCGTAGAGAAGAGTCCAGTAGAAATAAATTGTTTGCTTGTCTGTCTGCAGGGTCAAAAAAACATCGAAAACCGATTTTCTACAAAAGACATTTCTAGAAGTATTTCGAATCTGAGGTATATTGAGTGACCATCGTGAGGTGGGAAGGTCAAAAAAACATCGAAGACCGATTTTTCATGGCTTTCAATTATCTTTCCAGTAAACGTGAAGAGGATACATTTCTATGAGAAAGAGCTAAACGAGTCTTCGGACGAGCGTTACTTGTATCTAATTATATGAGTTCCTACATTTTTTAGGTAGTCAATATAGTGATTATATGGTACTTGATTATTCATGTTTACAAGGTGAAAGTTTATCGATTTGTGATAATCATTTAATATCAACAACATCCAATGATATGAATCATCGTTTATTTATACGTAGTTTAAATTATCCAAATGAATATGATAATTCATTAAATTGTTCATGTGAAATAAAGACAAAAAAATCAATTATAAAAATTCTTGATTTTTCTCTTGAAGAACGTGATGAAATGAATATATGTTCACGTGATTATTTACAAATAGGTAATCAATCATATTGTGATTCTTCAATTAATAATACATCGATAATTCTTAATTCATCAATATATTTAACATTTAAAACGAATGATGTTATTACAAGAAAAGGTTTCTGGTTAATGATTGATAGTGAACAATCAATTGAAGTTTCATGTAAAAATTCATTTGAATCTCCATTTCCTACGACAACGCCATTAATAATAGTTTCTTCTATTAATCTATCAACAAATTCATTTAATACAATTAGAAATTCTACAATTTTACAATCAACACGTCATGATATACTTTCATTAATTCTTAAATTAACGATTATTTTTGTCATTGCTCTTTTTCTTTTAAATCTTATTTTAATTATTCTTTGTTGGAAACGAAAACGATCGAAAGAAAGTATTAAATCTAAACTTAATAATACTCATCGACCATTTTCATGTTCAAAACGTTTATCATCATCTTCATCGTCATCAATAACATATGGTGAAACACCAGTATTAACATCACTTGATACTCAAAAACGACAAACAACATCAACAACAACAACAGCAACAGGTACTTATGAAGATCCGAATGAATTTTTAACCTTACAACATCAACAACAAAAATTGGAACATTCTCTTTATCTACAAAATCAACATGAAACAAAAACATTTTGTCCTATTATTTTACCATCATGTTCAACTAATACTGGTTATAATCAAATGATTCATTGTCATTTTAATAGTTCATCTCAAACATTTTATCCACATTATCCATTAGATTCTCAACATATTTATGAAACAATACAAGATGGATATTGTCCATATCAACGTTTAGCAGCTACACTTCGTCGTCAACAGCAACAACAACAACAACGATGCACATGTTCTTGTACATATAATGAACAAAATCTTGCGATAGAAACTGATGAACATGATAAAGATCTAACTATTGGAAAAAATCCTGAAACACTAGTCTGATAGAACAAAAAAGAGATCTGATTTGCCATGTTTTCCTTTTTAATATTTTTTTTGTTATTGTCTTTATTTGTACTAAATAATTAAAAATCAGAATTTTAACAAGATATAGTAGCGTATATCATGGGCGGTGCAATAAACTTTTAAATAAGGCTGTATATTGTACACCCCTCCACATACTGATGAATTCTGCAATAGAAGTTTTTTCTATAAACTTAATTTTTCAAGGTAATAGCGCTGAAAATTTGCACACTATAATTCATCAGAGAGTCTGATAACAGAATAACGTTTTTTCTTGAAAACAAATTTACTCAAAACGAGTTATCCCAGGTCGAATAATCAGATAGCAAGATCTTGTAGGAATCGTATGTCCGATCATAACTGATATGATAGAATCAGACAAAAAATCGCACTTAAAAATTCGTGTAAGATTCTGTTATGCGGTACAATGTCACCAAAACATTTCATTAAAACTAATATCTTCGTAAAATCTTACTTAAAAATGATACTCAAAAATACAGGCGCGTTAAATCTTTCAAGAAAAATGTGGTATGAATTGATACAAGATTTCGTTCATATTACAAGATCTGATGTCAGATTTTTTGATCTGGGTAGTAAAGACTCATATTCGTCTTTCAAACTATCTTCGTTCACTTACCATTGGATATGAGACTTGATACTCTCATAAAAGTTTTCCGAATATTTTAACAGCTGTTTCTTTTTTAAAGAACTGTAGATATTAGAATCTTCTTCCATTTATACGTATTAATAGTAGAAAAGAATCAATTTTTGTTCAAGAAAAATATACAATTCTTTTATTTAATTTCAAAATATAAATTATAACTGATATGATTACAAAAGTATTTATATTGGGAAGATTGATAAAAGAAAAGCATTGTCTTCATCTAGATTTTTTCCATGAAATAAGTCTCATATTATCTATTTAATTTATTTAAAAATTTGTCATAGTATCTATCACATGTTACTTGTATATTTATGGGTGATAGAGTACAAATCAAACGTAATATTATGTTCTAGCTGTATATCTTATTGGTTCGACAGGAGTTGATCGAGATAATATCTTTCGTATAATCGTTTTGATGTTTGGTGTAAAACAGTATCCAATTATTACAACTACTAATACGGATATATCAGCACATATAAAAGCAATACGAAAATGATACTTTGGTGGAGATGTAAAAAAGGATGTTAAAACAAATATCATATATGGTAACCCAAGGACAACAAGACTATTACTAAGAATAAAAGTACGTTGAACAAGTCTTAATTTTCGTCGAGCATGAAATATAGTATGATTCGATATAGTGCGATAACTCATTTGATGAACATATCGAGTTAGTTTAATATAAACAGCAGCAATACCGAAATTAGGAATGATATAAATAATTGCTGCTACATAGACTATTGGTAGAGATAAACGAAGCGGTACTTCACAAACTTGATTGTCAATATTGTAAGTTATTTGTCCTGTCACTAACAGTGGAAGGGTATATAAAATACAGATAATCCAAAATATAATTATAAGACAAAATTGAAATTTAATTGTTCGCCATATAATTTTATTTGGATAGACTACATATATATATTGATAGGCGGCTGTTAATAAATATGAATAGTTCTGAAGACCATCTGCACCATATCCTAAGAAACCTAAAATGATACAGAATGAAATATTTTTTTCGCTACTCTGCTGTAAATCATGTTGTAATGTGAATATTGCCATATTGAAGAATACACAACTTAAAAGAATTACAACTACAGATGAATTGCATACTAAAAGCATTTGTACTGATGAATATGTTTTATGTTTTATAATAATTAATAAATATAAAAGACCGAATATAATAGATAAAAAAGTAGTTATAATGCTGATAATATCGAAAGGAAGAAACCATAATTCTGTTTCGATCAATGTTGAATCGTTCATGAAGTTTACCATATCCATAGAACTTGCAATTATTTGTAATAGTAGATTAAAAATGTTTTGAAAAATTTCTCTTTTAATTTTATACACAAAACTTAGTGGAAAAAGAAAAACTACCAGGATAATTTATATGATGTAACGACATTAGAATCAAGTTTTTTCTTGAAAAAGAAGGATGTCTGATTACTCTCTTTGAAGAAATATACATAATTAAATATTATAATTGGGATGTCAGCTGCAAATAACTATTTATAAATTGTCAAGTACAACATATATTTATCTTATTATAATTAAAATATTTTCAATTTACTATTTTCAGATAGTTCTTGGTATATTCAAAATATATTGTACATAAAGTTTTTCCGTATTTTAAATCAAATATGCACATGATACTATTACTTTCCATAAAGATTTGTTTAGAAAAATTATCAGTGATAGACGTGTCAGCATTACTGATATAAATAAGACAATCAACATTCTCTTCTTAAGAAAATATTGATCATCACTCGTATATTAACTACGAGATTGTATTAAATATATACATACTGAATTAGACAGTTTTATTTTAATCTACAAAGAAAGCACAGAAAATTTGGAGATACATTCCAAATTTTTTTAGGGGACGCAGTTCCTAACCTGTTACTTGATGACGCGCCGACCATGCTGTGAAAATGACTAATTAAAACGTATATTGTTAAACAATAGAGATCAAATCTTTAATAGTAAAAATTATGTTTTTCTTTTTGTGCAAATAGTGAAGCATGTGGATTCTACATTTCATTATATAGTTTTTACATTTTTACTTAATATTTTCTGTTTTCGAATCAAAAATTAGATGCTAGTCTAGTTTCACTCGACTATTAAATACGATCATTGAACCAAAACTCTTGTTAGTGAACTTGATATCAGTTTGATTGATTTCATTCGACTTCTAAAACTAGTCTTGTTCAATATAACTAATGGGTTACTCTTACTTCACCTCTACCCTGACACAGATGATTACATACAGTAAAACTTCTCATAATGAACACTTCTCGATAGTAAAACTCTCTGTTTTATGAACGCTCTCAGATCCAACAGAGTGATTTTTGCTGGAAATGCATCTCTCCAGTATGAACATCTCTTTATTCTGAACAGTGAACGCTTTTTGTCGGTCTCGTCTGATGTCGTCGCCTCTCTAGTGGGAACATATGCACGATGTTTTTTTTGATCTCTTCCTACTTTCGGTCATATGTTTTGATGATCTTTTTAATTCTAATTCGAAAATAAATGGTGAAATTTAGGAATAGATTCAGTTTTACTCTAAGATGTATATAATTCATATATACGACCAAGGAGTGGGTACGAGGGATTTATTTGTAAATTATTCTAAAACTAAATCTATTCCTAGAAATAGGTATTAGTTTTTCTTTTTTTAATAGCCGTTTATATTCGAACTCGAATTAGGCAGCAACTCTTTGTATTATAGTTTAAATTTTTTTTTATTAAAATCGTTTAACTAATAACAAATGAACAAAAGAATATATACTCGGGTGTTTCTCTACTATAAAGGCATAAGCAAATATTCTAAGATTTCTTCCATTTCAGGCTATGTTATATATTAGCTCTCTATAGTGAACACCTCCGTATAATAAACACTTTTTTCCGGTCCCGATGGTGTTCACAATAGGGAGGTTTTACTGTAGATTATCACAAAAATTTACAAAAGATCCACTTAATTTACAATGAAATAAACAGCAAATGGCATAAGTGGATTGGTGAATGTAAGTAAAGTGTTACCCTCACAAAGTCTCTTCTATCCTTCGCTTCTTGGAGTACATAAATTGAACATTTTATTCTTTGATTAAAGGATGCCGAGGCAATCCAGCTGCTGATAAATAAACTTTTTTTTTATCATTTTCATTCTCTTCATCCCTTTTTGTATGTAATCAATATGTCAATCAGATAAAACAAAGTTGATTATTTATTATCAAATTAAAAAAAACTGAACTCAAAGAAACCGTTAAGATGAAAAAAAATATACTTATATTAGAAAAAATAAATCAGAGATTAAAAACGAAAGAATAAGTCAAATTGTCAGTAGAAATAGTTGGATACAAAGGGCGATTATTTGCATTTGGCAAGAATGGAAAAAATAATTGGTGCATAGGGGTTATTGGTTGAATTGATCAAATACAGCTGTGGAATAATTCCTACTCGTTCGCTTGTAACTTGTCCACAAGTACATGGTTGATGATTTTCTTGGGGAAAGATCAATGTAAAATTGTTCACGTACAATGAACCCGCTCCAGGCACTAAAACATTTGTCAAAGTTGGGACGGTGAACACACCAGGCACTGTTGCACCCGCTGGAACTACGACAGGTCCAAGAAACGGTTGAGTTTCGTCCAGATAACGGGTATTGTCTGGATCACTCAGTAGGACGGTTAAGTTCTTGGAACTTGCTGGTTCTTGAGCGAGTGTACTACAATTAAAGAAACCTGTGAAAATAAAATTACTGAACGTTGCTTTTTCACAATTGGCGTTTGTTACAGTGAATGACACGTAATAGCTAATAGAGATAAGGAGCGATCCAATTTGACATGAATACCAAACTCCACTATCACTTCCAGATGCTGTAACGGTGTTGTACGTGGACGCCGCAGGTAACGGCCGGCTATAACGCAAATTGATTGATGCATCGGTACAAAGTACTGGTGCAACCAAATAATTGGCAAGTGATGGATTAAAAATGCCGACTAGCCATGTTAGAAGTAAAACTGGAGTACATAACTGTCGAAACATTGTTTTAAGCAGTGTTAAAAACTAAATGATCTAGAAGAAAAAAATTGATTTGGATTGATGAATATAAATGTCGTGATAATGGATAAATTCACGTAAACTGTACTAAAATACGGACAGTTTTAATTCAGAATTTAATCTCATGTTTCGTTTGATTTTTTCTAACGAGTGCTTTAATTACCATGACGGAGAGGGTATAAGTCAAATTTGTAATAAAAATTGGATGTTTGGTGAATATATGA